GAAATAAAGGGAATGAGAAGATTCATGCAGTTCAGCTGTTTTAGTCAGCCAGCCAGCTTGCTAGCAACAAGAGATGGTTTCCGCTGCGGAAGATCTTGTGGAGTGGGAATGTGGTCACCAGTGACTTCCGTCTTGTCAGGAGCTGCAGTAGGCAATTGTTTGTTCTTCATCTTTGCTTTTGCCATGTTGTAGTCACCAGAATCAAAGTATTTTTGCTAGAAGACAAAAATATTTTTGTTGGCTTGAAAAATGTATTCAATGCATGCATAAAATTACATTGGTTTAGTAAGTGAAAGCCATTTAAAACATCAAATTGATAACTACGTTGTAAACTTAAAGCTCTGTTGTTGGAAAGAGGTGGATATTAAGAGTTTAGAAAGTAATTTTTTACCTCACTTAATGCATACAAATTGTATTGGTATGGACTCCAAAGGACTCCAGAGGTGTGGAGTTGGGGAATAAACTGAAAGTTAAACACTGAATTAAGTAAATGCTAAAAGTTAATGTCCAATCTCAGGTCTGTTTCACTGCATGTAAGCATTATTATACTGCCAAATTTGTAAAGAGACCAAAACTTCACCTCTCAAGAACTTCACACCTGACAGTCTTCAAAGTGTAGTGCAGTTAATGAACTCCAGAACTGCAGAATTAAAACAACCTTGAACATTAACATCTAAAGGATAGAGTGCTTGCTTTAGTGTATCATGTGAAATGAATTCTCATAGCCCAGATCTGCAAATGGTTAAAGCAGTGGTGCTCAACCTTTTTCCCCAGGGGGCCAGATGTGAAGTGCCAAGTCTGTCAATGGGCTAGATATGAATGGTGGTACTGGTGCAGCACCAGGAGTGGGTGCAGTAGGTACCATCTAGCTGTGCAGAGTGGGATGAGGGCCAGCCTGCAAGGGAAGGGAGCATGGCTTGGCCTGGTGGGGAGAACAACCAAAGAGACTCAGAAGCAAGATAGCAACCAAGTACTTGTGAAGAACTGGTGCAGAAACATCAAATCCAGCCTTCATTGCTGTTAGTCTGATGCAATACACTATTACAAATTACTTAGCAGTTGTACTGAATTTTTTAGAAGCCTACTGAAATTTTTAGAAGGCTACTTAAAAACAAAGCCTCAGGCCTAGAATGAATATAGCATGTTAAACCATAAATAAACCTGCTCTGGATTGATACAGCTTAGCTGAAACATAACACATGCCAATTCTATTCATGTAACAGCTCAATGCATAACAGCATGTTTCATCTTTTGAAACACACCTGTTGAAAGCACATGCACACACCCCACTCCCCAAAATCTGATTATGAAAACCAATACCCATTTCATTTCCATAAACATGTCCTGCTTCCTAGATCATGTTAGAATCAAAGCTGTTTTACTAAGCAGATATTAGATACCTGGTTGTATTCAGACAAGTTATCACTTCTACCAATTTCTGCCATCTTTACTAGCATTACCCTTTATTGCCATCTGCCTTGTTTGTTATCAAATACCCTCAAAGCATTAAATTATTCATAGATATGAAGGCCAGAAAGGGCTATTATAATCATCTGTTATGCAGGAGATTAGACTATATGCTATTATGCAGAAGATTAGACTAGACTATGAAATTTCATCTGCTAATTCCTACATCTAAACCACAGTATCTGACTGAACTGAGCATCTTCAAACAGATCTCTCAGGTCATATATTCAGGGTAAATATTAGATCAAAATATAGCTGCTAAGTGTTGGGTCCTGAATCTTAGAAACACCTACCATAAAACATACTACTAGATGGGCACTGTCAACCTGACATATCATCCATTATTGACAAAGACAGAAATCAAATTTAAGTTGACATTGCTCCCTTCTAAAAGCAGACTTGAAGGAGATTTAGTAACAATAAAAATTAGACAACTAAAAACTAATATTAACTAGGTATATTAGAAGGAAGGTTTATTGTTTAATTCAAACAATACAAAAAATACAGGCAAAGATTCTTCCCTTAATCTTAAACATAAACCTCATCACAAATGAGTCAAATGTTGAGGTCTCGACTAAAACTGCTACAGATTTACACTTTATTTTAAGGATCAAAAGTAGCTCTCTAGTCACCACTTGTAATTCTACTAAGTTTGGTGGGCCAGCCAACCCAAGTTTCACTGCTATGTACTGTGTCTCAAGCAATTTTTCATCTTTCCTTCACTATATTTTTGTTGCCCCAGATTTCACAACCTAAACACCTTTATTTTCTAGAGTCCATTCAAGAACCCTTGTCATGTGCAAAGACAGACAACAAACATGGCACTTACTCATTAAGCATTTCATGCAAACATCCTCACATTAATCCAGGGATGCACAACCTCCAACCCATGGACCAAATGTGGCCCATGTAGGCATGTAATCTGGCCCATGGGGCTCCCCTCAGGTTGGGAAATTTGGCAGCAGGGTAGCAGTGGCAATTAATATGGCCAACTTTCCCCACCACCAAAATCCCAAATCCCAAGCTCCATGTGGTCGGTTGGGATCAGGCTACCACCCCTCCACTCCTGCCAACCTCACGCAGCCAGATGATGTCCTGCCATGACCACCCTGGGTCCCAGATCCAGCTTGCAGATGGACCAGGCACTGCCCATTCAGCCTGCCAGACAAAAGGTTGAGCATCACTACATTAACCCAATCTGTGTTCTAGACTAAGTTCTAATGTGATGAAGTGTGATGTGGTGAAGTCTAAGGGTTGGTTTTGACACCTCACCTGAAAATTGCAATAGACAGGAGAAGCCTAAGTGGTTTCAAATGCATAGCAGTTGCTTTAGGCTAGCAACAAGAAAAGAGGATACTCTAGCCACACCCTTGGGGAGACATAAGTAGTTCATACAATGGGGTCATTGCAATTTGTCAGATACAGGATTAAAGATGGGTCAAAGTCATCCTCAGGTACCACTCCCAATAAAAATGCAAAGCTGGCAAACAGGGCAGGAGGTGTATGCAATGACAAGGGTAGGATAAAAGGGCTTTAACAATCCGGAGCCCTTTATATACTGAAACCTGAGGGAAAGCACAACCAATTAAAGTGATTTACCCAATCTGAAAAAAGTCATTTGGTTTTATTCCAAACAAAGTGCTGACGCATTTCCTTACTCCTCTAGTAGAGGTGCACCGATATAGCGGTCCAATATGGAATCAGCACCAATATAAAGAAAATATACTATATCGGAAATTGGCCATATCAGGCTGATAATTTGGTTGATATGTGGCCTGCACATGCATGTAGCACAAACAGTGAGGAGCACAGCAGCATGGAGAGCTGCCTCCAGCCGGTAAGTCTGGTGTGTGGGGGGGGG